ATAATCATACCCATGTTACAATGAAAAGACAGTGGTACAGTTGAGAAACTAACCCAAAATCATGACTCTAGGCAGGTAGTAGGTGCCCTTACCACTATGCTACATTATTTCCACAAACAAATACAATTTTTAAAAAAACACTGTATTCATCATACTGGAAAGATTTCACTAAGAGGCTAAAATGAAAAAAAAAACTATAAACTAAAAAGCTATAAACATTGATGTGGCTATGTCACTCGAGTATGCCAATTTTAAGTTCTTTAGGAATAGACCAAGGAGTGGGATAGCTGAATCAAATGGTGGTTCCATTTCAAGTTTTCTAAGAAATCTCCACACTACTTTCCAAAGTGGTTGCACCCATCTGCAATTCCCACCAGCAATGTACCTTTTTCCCCACATCCTCTCCAATACTTATTATTGCTTGTGTTCTTGTTAACTGCCACTCTGGTGTGAGATGAAGTCTTAGTGTAATTTTGATTTGCATTTCTCCAATCACTGAAGATGTTAAACACTTTGTCCACGTATTTGTTGGTCGTTTGTGTATCTGAGAAGTGTCCAGTTCCTTAGCCCATTTATTATTTTTTTTGTATTAAGTTTATTGAGTTCTTTATATATCCTGGAGATTAACATTCTATCTGATGCACTTGTGATAAAAATTTGCTCCCATACTTTAGGCTCTCTCTTCACCTCAATAATTATCTCCTTTGCTGAGAAGCTTTTTAGTTTGACTCAATCACATTTATTGATTTTATTTCTTGCACTTTAAGCCCCCAACTTCCTTAACAAGACTCCTAATCTGACATGATGAAGATTTGGGCCTACCAAAAAACCTAACCTGAAATGTGCAATCAGCACAAAAAAATATGATTTTCCACTTTTTATAATCTCCATTACCATGATTGGGGGCACTAACAAAGAAATATCACCTTTTTTACTTTAAAAGGGCAAACTAGAATATAAAGTGTAAACATTTTATAACAGTGATTAAGAATTGGTACCTTTTCACTAATGAAAAATGTTATTCAAGGTTTTACAAAACTTGGTCACATTTCAATGTCAAATACACAAGAAACAAAAAGTGACATTATAATACACAGAATAACACATACCATAGAAATCTCCCAGCCATCATATCCACACAGTTTAGATCAAAATTGATCAAACTTTGGTTAGATGTCAAAGTACATGTTTTGCCAATGGAATCTCCAAACAGAACAACAGGTCAATTGCTGACATATCCCACTACTGGTTTCCAAATTTTTTATATAGCTTGAACTCTAAAATTTGAATTGTATACCATTGTGTATACTGAATTTGTCTTAAGTGACTCATTCATTCAAAACCTACTGGGTTATTCATACCAGGCACTGAGACTAAAGATGTTCATGGATTTTACATTCATTCATTCACAACTATTTATTGTACAACTGCAAAGTTTCAGGTGCTGTTCTGAGAGTACTAGGGAAGGGAACAAAAAAATGCTTATCCTACTGAAGGAGACATTATAGAAAGGAAAACAGACAATAAGCAAAACACAAACCAAATTAGTAATAAACGTTAGAAAACAAAGATATCAAAGAGAAGGATTTAAAGTGAGGGTAAAATTTTAAGCGAAAGAAAGCCAAGGAAAATCATATAAAGTAGAAAAGACAACCCTACAACATGTTAGGTGTAAATGCTATTAAGAGAAATAAAATACGGGGAAAATGTGATGGTGAAGTGAAGGCTGAAAGAAAATGGTCAGTGAAGGTCTTTTTGAAGAGGTGGCCTTGAGAAGTGAATGTCAATGAAGTAAGAGATCCAGTGACATGAGGATATGGGAGAAGGGCATACCAAATCAAAAACCCCTTGGCAGGAGCAAATGTGCATGTTTAGGAAGCAGCAAGAGACCAGAGTGGTGGGAGTGGAGAGAGCTGGGGCTGTGTACACCTTCCTGATAACCACTGTGAATTTGGGCAGGTATACACTTAAAAGTGTAATGACTTACTTCAAATCAATTCCACATTATAATTGCAAAGTGTAAATGGAGGGAATGAAGGGAAAAAAGTGGGATGAAGCCTAAGTGGTACCACTGAGTAACGCAGACTTCCACAAGACAATCAGGGCGTGTACACAGAAAATTCAACAGCCATTCAAGGCAGTGGATAAGAAATTTCTACTGATTTATAAAGTATCCCTGATAACTCATGCTGATTAGAAACAGTGTTTTACTCATTTTGAAATCCCTCCCACAGTGCTAGGCCCATGTGAGGTACTCAGCAAATGGCGAGTGGTTATGTGTAGAAAAGCATTTGTGTGCCAACGTGTCAAACATTATGTTCATCAGACCTCACAGTTGTAAATGACTCAGAAAATGAATAACAAGTATCCAAAGAAGAATCCTCAAAAAAAAAAAAAATCTCTAAACATATTGATCTATATGTCCCTTAGGGCAAGATTCTAAATGGAGAAAAGAACTTGGCAGTGGGTTAAACAGAAATTGCACCTTCAGGTTAGCAGAACCTTGATAAGTACCTCTTATGATAAGACTTCTCCCATGTTAGCAGGCATATTATCCTCAGCACACCCTTTAGCCTCTTTCTTAAATGGCACAAGGACCTACCTGTCCCATCAGTAAACACTATGAAGTACTTGCTACCCAAGAACCATCCCATGCCCCTGGGTATCCAGAAATTAGGAAGGATGGTCTGTCTTTAGAATTAGGTTGATGTTCATTATAAGGGGAGCCAAAGGGAGGACAGAAAATGAAAACAAACCATGTAAAATTTTTGTATTATAAAGAATTAGAAGAATATAGGGAAAAGAATAATTTATAAGAAATCACACAGAAGCAGTTATGCCTGAAGTCTAAGCATGGTTTTGCATTTAGTAAGTTAAATTGTAATAGAGTAGACATATTACCATTAAACCTATTGTTCTTTGCCACTTAGATAAGTTAAAAAAAAACACTGTGAAGGACTTTCTAGAGAAACAAAGATTAACCAAAACAATCTGTATGTTTCTCAGTAGTTAAAAACAAATGTAACTCAAGAACTTAATACAATCGGTCTCTTCAAACTTTTTTTTAAATCTCGTATCCCAAAACAATGATGCAAAATAGCTTTAATACCAGGGCATGGGAAGCAGGGAGGAACGGGGCAAGACCAGGGAGTGATACTGGCCACATATTATATTGTGCACATATACAAATATGTAACAACAAATCCCATCATTATGGACAACTATAATATACCCATTAAAAATGTGGGGAGAAAAAAGGCTGGGGATGTATCTCAATGGTAAAGTACTGCTGGTTTCAATCCCCAGTATGGGTTGGGGAGAGGGGGGGACCTTAATCTTCCAGTTACCCTCTGCTGAAATATAACTCAAGTCTTTATTGTAATTTAAATTAGTCCTTGAGTTTACATAAAGGACCCCCAGGGCATTCAAAGATAATACAGCACTGGACATTGTGCAATTATTCTGCAAGCCAACTTTCAGGTTAAAATCATAAGTTTAAGCAGTCACTACAAAACAGTAACAATAAGTGCATTACATCTAAAAAGAAATTACCTTTTAAAACATTAAGGAATAGTAGCCCTTTTTCCTAAGATTTACAGCAAAAATAAGTCATCTCCAATCAAATTTATTTATTTTGCAGAGGTAGAGAACAGAATTACATTCTAATTTAAAACACATTTAGAAAATACACTTACGATTCACTATACAGATTTAAAAGTTGAAAATTATCAAAGTATCTCAATGTTTTTCTTCACTTTTACCTGAAGATTTGCCTTTTTAGTAAGAAAAATGCAAATAAGTAATTTTAAACATTCTTACAGCCTAGTGACCTACAACTTTTAAGCACAGATTAAAATCTAGGATATACCTATGTTGATTTTAACATGGTTCCAAGCCTCTATAAATCTCAGGAAAAACAAAATTATCTGGAGACCAGGTATAAGTAAGATGTGCCAAATGACTCTGCATATGCTGATCAACACCCAAGCCTAAAAATATTATTTAGTGAAGGCAGCAAGGGAAGCCAGATGATCCCCAACTTATACAACGTCCCTTAATATTGTAAGTTTCCAGTAGCTAGACTTAATAACAATGATTTCAATCAGAACTATCAAAATCCTTCAGAGTGTTATAGTTTACAAGCAAATTTCGTATGTATCAATTCATCTATTACTAAAAAGAATGCTGTAAGAGTAAGCCAGAGAAGAACTGTTGACTCATTTTAATGATAAATAAATTCAAAATCAGAAAAGATAAATCATGCATTTACTAGTGAGCCAGCTGACTACACGTTAAAGACCTCACAAATGGATATGTCCTGTTACTCTCCATTTGCCTTCTACCTCTATTCAGAACTGACATAGCAAGGTATGCTCTGAACACCTCTCTTCTCCCTTGTGCCATTTGACCGGGAGCTAACATCACTAAACTATACACTACTCACTTCAATCTCAAGATGCTGGCCTCCAGAAGAACATGAGGTGATAATACTAGAATGTAATATCTACATAGGCTTACAGTTTGTCACATGCCGAAATCCGATTATCAAATAAACTGACTTGAATTGTAATATGGAACATTAGTCTGGTAGTAACATGGTATTTCATTTTTGTCCTTGTCTCTGGGAATTTCAAACGGAGACAAGGTTGTTGAGCAAAGCAGGATACAGATAGTCCTGGATCCCTAATACTGTTAGAACTACAGGTTCAGTTTCTAAAATAGACAACTATTTCAAATTTATATTGTTATCCTAAAATTGTTTTTAATTTAAACGGTACATATTGCGAACATGGCACTAAACCATGACTTTCAAAATTTTGTATTGAGTTCAAGTGGTCCTGTTATATTTTCAAGATTTAAAAATAAGTTGAACTTACTTTTATCACCAGAAAAAAGGTTTAAATAGATTACTTTTTTTTTTAATTCAAGGTCTTCAGCATGAAACAGAAAATTTTTATTATTTAGAGAGAAGGTAAAATTCGGTTTATAGAGTCACATACCAAGCTTCAGGGAGCAAAACAGAGTATTCATGTGGAGAAGTTGTTTCTGGAAAGTTGGAGAGAATTGCAAGGCGATGAGGAAGAAGGTCAGAGCCATGATAAGTAAATAGAATTTCTAATGCTTGGACATTGCTTTCCTGTATAAAAGGAAAGAGGTGAGTTTCTAACATGAATCTTGGAAATAAAGCAGTGATTTTCTATGACATTCAAAAATTTAACTTTTTATGCAATTCTGAAAAAGTTCTTTGAAATATTGCTGAATTTTTCCTAACTTGTATCATGTTTCTCAATTTAATGGTACAAAAATGATTTTTAAATCTCTGAAGAAAATTTTTTTTAAATGTAGCTATGTTTTCTATATTCATATTACAACAGAACAAAAAATGTAATGGTATATGCACACATCAACATTAACTGCACAACTTCAATATTTACAGTGTTAATAGCCACAATTATTTACCAAAAAAAAAATTACCCGAGCATAAGTTCTTGCTGAGAGAACAATATTCTGGCTTCTAAACTTCTTAAAGAACTCAGCATCATATCTCTGTCCAGATGCATGAGGCACTCCCAGGATTTCCTGAAGGGAAACAATGATTTTATGAATAGGCCTTTAAATACGGTGACAAGAAAATATTAAAAACCTTTACAACTCTGCCTGCCTAAATAAATAAGGCCTGTACTAATTAATTTAACTGTCAACTGTTAAATAAAGTGCTATAACTGTATCCTCATCTTTGTTTTGAAAAGGGCCATATTTGTAAATGCAGTAATTTTTTCAAATCCAGAAGTGAAATAGTGAAAATTTAATTACAGTAGGACAACCAAAACCAACTACCTGGTAAGAATAAGCAACAGTTATACAGTGCTGTACATTATAAGCACCCATCACATCTACGTAAGAATAATTAAATCAATCTAAAGTTCTTAAGAGTGACCTATGTTAAATGCAGATTGTACATTGTAAATGCAGAATGAATAGGCTCAGAGTGTCTACTATATGCTAGTGGTACTGCGAAAGGCACTGGTAACTCACTGAACAATGTACTTTCCCTTCCCTCCATGTAGCTTGAAATCCAGCACAGAAGTGAATCAACTGTTTACAAAACATCTTAATTTTTTAAAATCATTTATGAAGTACCTATCTACTTCATATTCAATGTTGCTATCATATGAGAATTGCTACTAATTTTGTCAGAAGTAACAGCAGCCTTGTGGTTATTTTTTTAAGACCTAATGATTTAGATATTCGTACTCAAGTATAGATAAAATGATAGAATTCCTGTGATTTGCTTTAAAGTGAAAGAAAAGGCAGGAGTGTAAAGGTGGAAAATAAAAGACAAGATTGGCAAACTAGCTGAAACTGAGAATGAATACATCATAGTTCATAGTACTGTTCTGACATATGTTTGAAATAGTTTGTAATAAAAAGCTAAAAAGAAAACTAATAAAACTCAAGACAACTAAACTCAAATAGATACTCAGTGTTCTTCAATGTTGCTACATTTCCCTAAGAAGTTTCCTACTGTTAGGAACTTTTTCACATTTTCTGATCCTCTAGACTGACATTCTATTCCCCAGCCCCCTACTCTCAGCTAACAACCTTGCTTTTCTTAATTGACTATTAGATGGGAGGTCCCTAATTTTCCAACCCACCAAAGCTGCAAATCTGCCTGCATCTATACCAATAGAATTTTCCTTCCTTCTGTTACAGCAGAAAAATTTATTTTCATATCTAAAACAGTCTCCAAATTCCACTGATGCTCAGAATCCCATTCTCCTCCTCTTCCACTATTACCTAAGTATTCCTTTTTCTTCCACTCAATAAATTCCCTTTCACTCTTCCACTGTGCATTCCATTAGCATGCAACCAATACTACTACTTCCTTCTACTACAAAAAAGACCCTTATTGGGGCTGGGGATGTGGCTCAAGTGGTAGTGCGCTCGCCTGGCATGCATGCGGCCCGGGTTCGATCCTCAGCACCACATACAAAGATGTTGTGTCTGCCGAAAACTAAAAAATAATTTTAAAATTCTCTCAAAAAAAATTTAAAAAAACGACCCTTACACATACCTAGCCAATACCACCACCTTCACCATTTTCTCTGGCCCAGCCTTTTTCTCAATAACACTTCTTGAAAGAGCTGCCCACATCCAGTCTCCACTTCCCCACTGAACCTCTAAGAAAAATTCAATTTGATTCCTTAAATAGGATAAGTAAACAATTCTAACCATATTTCCCACCTTTGTTCTGTGCCACCCCAATCTCCACATCCTACGCTATCAAATGTTCTCAAGAGCATGTCATCTTCTTCCATGCCAACAGGCCTTTATCTAACACTGATTATTAGCATAGCCTGCTCAACAGAAAAGTTCTTGCTTCCTAGTTATTTGGGCAAACTGATAATCTTCTCTAAGCTTCTATAAAATTCAGAGGATAGTAGAAACTGCCTCAAAAAACTGTTGATAAACAATCTTGAATAAGTACATGAGACAACAGCTGACAGTCCTCAATAAACGTGCTGGTATTTCTTGAGGTCTTCTCCTTGCCCACTGGGTCTCCCTACTGTGCTTCCTCATCAATTCTTCATAACTTTATCATCACTTAATGCCTATAAGCAAACTGTTCTTTATTCATCTCTCCACCTCCAGAAACAGCACAATATCTGGCATACAGTAAGCACACAGGTAAAATTTAAATGAATTTTTTTATCCATTTATCATTTTTAAAAAGCATGTCCTATGATGAAAATGCAATGCCTATCTCTTATACTAACAGGTTAATCATTATACCTGAAGATTTTCATTCATTCCAAGTCATCTACATTTCAAAAGCTTAGGTTTTCCAAAAAAAAAAAAAAAAACAGGGACTTAAGTACTTTAAATGGACTGTCACATGGGAAATAGCCATTCAAAAACCAAAGAGTAACAAAAGAGGCCTGGGAGTGTAGCTGAACGGTAGAGCACTTGCCTAGCAGGTGTGAAGCTTAGGGTTCAATCCCAAGCACCACAAATGGTGATGATGATGATGAAAGAAAATTAACTGGATAGTCAAGCTCTGAACTTTTTTGCGGGGAGCAAGGGGATAACCTGGTATTGAACCTAGGGACTTACCCACTGAGTCACACCCCTGGCTTTTTTCTTTTCCTAACAGGATCTTTCCAAGTTGCTAAGTCTGGCTTTGGAACTTATGATCCCCCCTGCCTCAGCCTACTGAGTCACTTGTATTACAAGTATGCATGCACTACAGTATGCAGTGAAACATTTTACATATTTTTTAAAGATGTTTATATACTTAGCCTTAGTTTCATGAATAAAGTACATGCTTGGATTTCCATAGTATGGAATGTGCTTATAATACATTACCTCAAAATATTCCAGAACTCAAATGTTGTAAAACAATGTTTTAGGGTAGTATGACCATCTGACAGTAAAACTAATTGTACTTAAATATAAATTTTTCAGGAATTCTTAATAACTTGTTTGCATTAAGTGGTATACTCATTACCAATGTTTTGTAATATCCACAAAATTAGTCCTCTTAAGTGTCCTGTTTAAAAGCATTTTAACTACATTAGCAAGGTGGGGGAATCAAGTGCTTCTGGGTCCATTTATACACAGTCACAAGTACAAAAAGGCTTCGGTTATTCTTGGGATGGGCACCATATTAGCAGACCTGACACTGAGCACCTACTACTGTGCCAGTGTCATGACTGATATGCCTACACAGTAGGGAGGCAAGTCAGACTTCCATGTGAAGCCAAACTTCGATAGTTGGATATAGTTTAAAACCTTAATAACTTCAGCTATGAAGGTCATTTAATAAAGCAATCTAAACTATCTGTTTACTGAAATGTGGCCAATTTCCACTTTTACCTTTAAGAGTTTCTGAATTGTTCTAATAGTTCAGAGTATTACTGAAATCCCCAACATGGGGCCATCTGGACTTACATCTCTGAAGACTTGAATACGAAACATACTATTTTTAATAATTAGGATCAACCAACTAAATTCGACCCAACAAATCATAATACTCATCTTAAGATTATTTAAACTCAGTAAAAACTGAGAATTGGTACTGAGAACACGTAAGTGTCATTAACATAAAATAAAAATATAAAATATAAGAAAAAGAACTGTAAATCTACAAGACTTAGATGTATTGAAATGGCTATACCTTTCGTATTCCCTAACCTAACAAAATAACTTCTGGCCTTTCATGATCTTGAATTTTTATCAAAAAAAGTTATGAGAGAACTTGCTTCTGTAAGAAATTAATTTTTCCCATATAAACAGTTTTAAGACAAGAATATCAGTGGCAGATCAAATTCACATAATTGGACAAATTATTCCTTACCTCATATGTTGCAAGTCGATCCAAGTAAGTTAATAATTTCAGTCTACAACGGCAAAGTTCTTTTTGTTCCAGCGTCAACCTGTATTGAATAACTATATTAGGCCATTTATATTTACATAGAAGTACATTTCTCTCGGAGTTAAAATAGAACAAAAATGAATATTCCACTGAACCCAAAGCTCTTGGAACAGTGTACTAAATAAAGCACAAGGGTAAAACAATATTAGACACATTTAAATTGTTGAAATAATTATCACAAGTAAAAAATATATACTGAAATCATTAGTTATTTTAAAGAGGTTACCGAATGAATAGTAATGAATCATTACTTTGAGAAGTTCACTAATTTAAGTAGTTCTTGTCTCTTCTTGAGCTCTTTTTCCTTTTTATTCTTGGCAGGCTGTTCATCCAGTGGTGAAAGATCCTCATAGGAGATACTGTCAATGTCTACTTCACCGGGTAATGTAAATCTGCAAGATAAAAAAAAATTACTGAAAGAGGATTCAAGTTTTTTTGTTTAACCTAAAAGCTATTTTTTCCTATTTTAGCTGAATTATTAACTTCCACAGAAAAACAATTTTTTTTTAATTTTTGCCATTGTAATGCAGGTGATCCACTCATTGTATCCATAAAATAGAATAATAATTAATATGCACAGAAATGCTAAGTTCAACAAAATGAAAACTGTTTAAGAAAACATGTAGTATTATATTCACCTAATGAAAAACAGCCCATGTAGAAAATGCTGCCTAGAGTTTATAATTTGACTCACTTCCATTTATGATCTTAAAATGATTAGCAAATGGTATCATTTAAATTATTCCCTCTTCAGATATATCATCATTTATATCTCCAAAGAAGTCCCAAATGTCTGATGAGCAATGACCCCTGTCAAGTAACTTTATTACTATTATTACTGACATTTGAACGATGCTTCAAAGTTCAAGAGGTGCTTTCACAAGATATATAATTTAATTACTGAAAGTAATTCTGTAAAGGAGGTATGATCCTACAGGTAAGGAAAGAGAAGTCAAGACTCCAAAGATTGTTCAACTGACAAGGAAGCCAACTTAGGTTTGTGCCAAAAGCCGCAGCCTAGCAAGGGCCAGCATTCAATAAATGTTTCTAGAACGGCTATTTCCTCAAATCAAGCCATTACATGCTAACACTTAACATAGGAACTAAAGCCATGACCTAACATAAGAAAGCACTGATCAAAGACAACTGCCTGGATATAGAAGAATTTCAAGTTTACCTGGCCCAGTGTCTCAGCTTAGAAGTTTTCACCAAGTCACCTTTGAATTCAGATTTTACTGTAACCAACCTGCCATCATCTGCTCCTTTCCCTATTGCTAGCAGAGCCTCCAGATCTGTGCCTTTCAATCCATACTGAAGCAGTTCTTTTGCAGCATCCACATTATCAGGCACTCGCTCCAAACACTCATGGAGAACCCAGGATCGCTTCTTTATTTTACTCTAGATAGAAAACACAAAACAAGGATAAAGAATGCATGGCATCTTATAGCACCTGACAACTGCCTTCTAGAATTATAAAGCTCTATGTGAAGTGATATAGTTATTTAACAACTGGACCATAGGTAGCTAGCTGCTCAAGAAACTCATAACTGTTCATTCTCTAATATTGATTCCAACTGGATAAAGAGCATGTGATTCCAACTGCTTTTGTGTCTAATGAGCCTCAAAGACAAAAAGCTCCATTTTCATATCTGCAGCCTACACATCAGTCTAAACCATCAAAATACAACATCTGGGACACTATAGGAGTTCTCTGCTCCTAGCAGGGTTTCCTACACCATTCCCCTCCTACTCCAGTCCTCTTTTACACCATCTGCCTCTGCAATCCCCACAGTCAAAAATCCACAGTTTTTCACTACCTAAAGAGAAAAGCCTGAGTCACCACAAGGTTTCAACATCCTCCCAAATCAACACATCTTTCCACCTGTATTTCTTCATGTTCACTACCTCAAATGCATCTCCAACAAACGTAGTGAATTCATTTATCCATGAAATGGTTACTGGGCACCTAGTATATGCAGGCACTGAATGGGACATGAGGATACGACAGTGAATTAGATTGGGTCACTGTCCTCATGCTTCTTGCAAGTTGCTCATACCATTACCATTTGTCCTCTTACAAATGCCTTTCTCTTTGAGACTCCCAAATTCCTGTACAAAATATCTTCACTATACAAAGGCCTTTCTTCTACTCCTGCTGAACGTACCATGATCACTACCTTCTCCAGGCTTCTACAGTTCGAACTCATGTATACTTAAGTAAAAGGTTCGTCTCTGGGAAGACAATCAGCTCAACAGCCACAGCCACACTTGGGCCCCTGCTGCACCTCCCCATGGTCACCAGTATATTATTTCTACTCTTAACTGTCTATTTAATAAAATTAAATATGTCCCCAGTTAAAAATTTACTTCTGTTGTCTCTTATAATCATCTTAGCTCCTTTATAGTGACCAAAACTGTTCTTTATGTTTCAAAAAAAAAAGCAAGTAGGTGTACATGCATTCATGAGTCCACTTGGACTAAGGCATAAAAAAGATAAGGTAGGCTTGGTGTCCTAATTTGCTAAAGCAAATGGTAAGCAACTTTGTCTTCATTTTTCCATCAGCTCTCATGCTCCCTTGTCTGAGATAATACTTGTATTAACAGTTAACGATCCTGTTTGGTTGAAGCATCAACATCTCCCAACATTTTCAGATCATGTTTTTATTTTTAATAACTCAAAGTGCATAAACTTCTAAGGAAAACAATCACCATTAAATTTGCCCAACATTTCCTAGGGTCTTCCTAAGGGCAACGAGGTTTTCCTTTCTAAATGTCAGATAAGAATGTCAGGATTTCAACTACTTCCTGAATTTTGAGTAATACATTCAACTCATAGCAAAACATACAGGCTTGCTATGAGTTGAATGTATTACTCAAAATTCAGATATTGAACATATGACTATATGGATCAGTAATCCCCCTGTGATTATTTACGAAGGTCTTTCAGGGGTAACTAGGTCAATAAGAGTAGGGTCCTCATAATATAATTGGTGCCCACATAAGAGACTAGGCATGAGCTTGCTTCCTCTCTCACGTGCTCTCGGCCATGTAGGGACATAGCAAGAAGGAATTCATCAACAGATCAGAAAAGGGCCTCACCAAGAACTAAACTATCACTTTCCCGTGAACTTTCAACCTCCAGAACTGTGATAAATGAATTTTGTTTTAAACCACCCATGTCTATGATACTTGTGTTATAGCAACCCACGCTAAGGCTAACTGTGGCTACATAACAATTTTAATGTGAGCAACCTATAGAAGATACAGTTGTGGGATATAAGTAAAAAAAGGAATATTTAGTAAGTTTGGTATGTCAGTTACCTATTTATTATCTCTCAACTCTAAACTTCCCCTCCAAGCAGGCGCAGTGATAGCATTTTTCATTTGCTGCTTGACACAGTATATTAAGCTTTGTCAACAGGAGTACTAAAGGGCCACAATAAAGGAAGAAACTCTAGTTTCAAGAACTTATGTTCTGGTTCTTGGTAGTCAGCAAGGCCTGAGATGAGGTGGGGGATACAGAGATACCTCCTTCTCTACCTTTCCTCCTGCCATGACAACTGTGCACTGAGTATCAGTGGCACTCCCATGAACCAATTTTTTCCCAGTGAATCTCCCAGGAAGCTGAACAAAAAGATTCCCAGACTGAGCCTACCTTACAGGAGTAGGAGTTTTCCTTGCCAGTCCCAGGTTAAGGCCTCCTCATTATCTACCAACTTTAAGCTGTGTGCAGCTGCTGGGGGAGCATCCTAAGCAGGAGGCTTCTAGTATCAGGGATTTTCTGAAACAACCTTAGCTCATTGGCACCCCGGAAATAGAGATGGATATCGAAGCTGGCGGTCTAACTGCCAACCAGGGTCACTGGAGACCAGCCCTAGCCCGACACAACCCAGAGAACTTTTCAATCCAGTGTGCTGCAACCAATCCTTGTCTAACATTGTCCAAATCCCAGCCTAGGGGAAGAGGCCTCTCTTCCAAGCGCATTCCCTCCATGGGCATGTTCCTTCAGCCCAAGGGTATTCCATGGAATTCTCTTTACTCCTTTACAGTTAATCTCTGTTGACTACAAAAATTCTAATTGAAACTTCTGCTGTGGTTCCCGAGTAGACCCTGACTAACGTGAGTGAAGAAAGGTAGCTGATGTAGTGAAGAAAAGATCAGGTCTTTGTTCAAACATCTTTACCATCACAATTCAGTTACAGAGGCAACAGATCCTGATAAGAGAATTTTTCCAGGTTAAAAAACACTTCATCACCTATAGAAAAGTCAGCAACATAAAGTACCCTAAAATAAAACCTATAAAAGAATATTCCATGAACATGAATTTACCACATTACTAAAATATTTTAACATACCAAATAATTCTGAATTGAAGCAATGTTGACTGCTGACTTCCTCCACTGCCTCTGATACACGAGATCAGTATCCAGGCCGTAGGTGTGAGCCAGAGACAAGGCTTCCTCATACTCTTCGCTTTCAATCTTTTAACAAAAAAAGAAATGGCGGGAACATTAATAGTACAGAACTATCCACAGGTCACTATTATTAAAGAATGGATGAGAATAATGTATTGACCTAATACAGTATGGCATGCCATTTTGTGCACTGTGCCACCGGAAGCTCACTGACATTTATACAAGATAAATTTAGTATTCTTACAACACTTTAACAAAGATGATAAAGAGCACTTGCTTATAAAATCGAACAATGGCAAAACCAGGACCAGAATACTATAGCCCGATTCCTGCTCCAGGGCTACAGCCACAGCACTGCCAAATGGCACAAATAACTCCAAGGTGTGTATGCAGGGTCTGTCATGTGGGCTGCCCATCAAAATCCCTGGCTGGGAAGTGGTCTGCCTTGTTTCCCTCAATATCTTTAGCTTGTAGGCCAAAACCAAGTAGTTGGCTGGTTCACTAGTGACTATTTGTTAACCATCCTCTGTACCATCATCTTCTATCCCACTAAAATGGGGATAAGGGGAGAGCTAGAAGCACAATTGTAATCCCACCAACTCCAGAGGCTGAGGCAGTAGGATCACAAATTTGAGGCTAGTCTCAGCAACTTAATGAGGACCTGTCTCAAAATGAAAAGGCACCGAGCTCAGTGGTGCATGCCTATAATACCAGTGGTTTGGGAGGGCAAGGCAGGAGGATTGAGAATTCAAGGCCAGCCTCAGCAACTAAGGAAGGCACTAAGCAACTCCATGAGACCCTGTCTGTAAATACAAAATAAAAACGGCTCAGTGGTAAAGTGCCCATGGGTTCAATCCCCAGCACCCAAAACTAAGATAAAACTGGTAATTCTAAACTGTCAATGATCTAACACCCCTTTCTTTAAATTTCTTCCTTTATTGAAAAGTTTGCCTTTTTTCCTGGGTGGGACGGGGGGAGTTTGATTCCTTCATCCTTTGGTAGAAAAAGGATATTCTCACCTTTCTCTGATAAAGCTCCTCTGGAGTTGTAGAGCGCAAACTGACAAGACGGTAGTTCTTGGTAATGGTTCGTGGGCGTTTCCGCGGAGGTGCAAATCGCTCCATTTCAGTCACCAAGTAAAGACCCTGTTTAATGTACCCAAAGTAGCGAGCCTTGGCTGATGTTTCATGATCGGAGTCAGAATCCTCTCCCCCCTCATCATCTTCTCCAGCCCTCATCTCCAAACGAGATCGTTTGGGGGCAAGTTTAATCTCACACTGAATTGAAAAATGAGGTACAAAATTAATACTGAGGAACTAAACAACCTTTCAGAATTTAATGAACAACAAAATTTTCAACTTTACTTTGGCTTGATTCATTATTATGATTCAAAATGGAACCCAACAACAAGCATATACATTAATTTCTGCAGAAACATACATGGACATTATCAGATCCAAATCTCCAAAACCAAAGGCTATTTTAGTGACAGATCATTAATAGTCTTATAAATATATGCCTAATTATTTTAGAGAAAGAACTTGAGAATGAATTGCTTTTACTTTTGATATTCCTGTACTTGCTATATGGACAAATTGGATGACAATATTTTACATCTATTTAGAGAATGAACATTAAGGTATCTATTTGCTTCATCAAAAATAAGCTCTCTCCCTGCCCCTTTTTAAAAAAAAAAAGTCTAAGAGCTTAACAAAGTTCCCTATCTGAAAGCCTGGTTATTAAAGATAACTTTCATTTCAGGCTTAACAGAGCTGGCTTATATTTTAAGCTATTCTCTTTAAAGAACATCTTTAGACTCAATAACAAACTTGGGAACAAAAAACATTTGCCAGTCTGAACTAAAATGATAGCCACTGAAGACTGTTCCTGTAAAAAGACTTGAAATAAGAATTTTATATGACCAAAACGTAACTCTCAAAAGCTAGCCCCTATTTTCAAGTCTTTTGTCATGGTAAACAAGGTTGTTTTTGTTTTGTTTTACTAAAAGAACCCAAAATTTTAAGTTAACACATTTCAAAGAAACAAGTTAAACATTAGGAAATACCTAAATGATAGTTTATCCCATTCTACATTTTAAGATAACTAATCTAGAAAAAAATTTATCATTTCCGTGAAGAAAGGCTTTGAAGGCATAATGACCACAAGTTTTCTATCATGATGCAATTTCTTTTTATTAACTGAACTTTAATATTGTGTCTTATATCTGATGCTACTCAGATTTTGTTTTTAAATACAAGATTAGATCATGGGACAACAAAAATTAAGCTCAATATTTAGATTTTTGGTGAAATGCACGTTTACTCTTAAAGAGGAAAGTCTTACCTCCAAACTTAAAAATCCCCCATCATGGGCAGCAGTGACTTGAGGTGATGGCTCAAACCATTCACAAGACTTGCCCAATAAATTCTTTAAGGTTTTCACTGAAGACACAGTTAGAGCACCAGAGCATCGAGCCAAAATCACTGCACTATCAGCCCACCAACTCACATCTATCAGTGGGTAAAAGGACTCTTTATCTAACAGGAAGAAGAAAATGAATGCAAATTAAAAAAAAACCCACATTCACAGATTTAAGTACAATGTATTTACTATAATAACTTTAAATTCAAACCTATCTATATTATGTGGACCCTAAAGGTATCTTAAATAATCAGAAAAAATAATCAAGTTGAAGTCATTAAACTTTTACTCAGGTAGGAGGTAGACAGTGGTATAGTAATTCATTTAACAAATATCTAAGTGCCAACAATTAGTCAAAGTCCAAAGCTCTAGGGATGTAGAGGTAAGTCAATTAAAATCCTTCACCAAAAAAATATAGACAGACCCCTAAATGCACTTGTAATCGCAGCTACTCAGGAGGTTGAGACAAGAGGATCACAAGTTCACGGCTGACTGGGAAACTTAGCACGACTTTCTCAAAATAAGAAAATTTTTTTAAAAATTTATAAATTTGTGTGTGTGTCTGGAGATACTGCTCAGTGACAGCACTCTTGGGTTCAATCACCAATATTATTAAAATAAAAAAAATCTAAGCATATACTCAGGAAAGATACATCACCATTTTCAACATAAATTAAAAGGCAGATAAATACAAAATGCATTTGTATACTAAGATTTTAAAAGGTTTTAGAAAATGCATGTCTACCACTTTCATACAAACAAGAACAGAAGTATGCCCTCTAAAACTATATGACAGATATACAATAGCTTCCACTGCCGATTTCCTCTTAAACTTTTAACTAATAAAGGAAAAAGCATTCAAAGCCTATGAAGAATTTCCACCCAACAGAGGCAGTCAAAAGAAATGTGATGATATTTGTCAGATTCATTGTGCTTTTTATTTTAACCTTAGCTGTCCCACAAAAGATGATATGGTTTAAAGGTAATACCTGTAACAACAAGCCATAAATTTAAAAACAAACTAAGGAGAAAGATTTTGAAACTGAAGTTTAGCACTATGAAAATAACTCATTTTAATTTTAAAAAATCCTAACACTATTTTCTTCCAATGAAAGCCTAAGGCAATTCATACAAAGAATTTAAAGAAAATATGTTTCTGGGGCTTCTTTCCAGGAAAGGAAGGAAGGAAGGAAGAAGGGGTGGGTCATTTAAATCACATTCTAACTTATACTTTTACAAATTATTATTTTTTCTCAAATATTTCTGAATGAGTGTTTCAGATGATTTAACAAAACACGTCATTCAAAGCCTGGATTCTGACACAATATTAATCAATATTTGCAATGCTTTTTAAATGTGGGAAAAAAGCATATTATAATAATGTAGATTCAAAATGTGTGTCTTACTGATTTTGTAAGGGACACTTAAAAATTCGGAGATGTTTGAGAAAGAAAAAATCCTGGGTGCGGGGGGGGGGGGGGGGGGGGCGCCATGTGGTGGAGCACTTGTTTCATGTGCGCCGAGTCCTGGATTTGATTCCCAGCACCACAAGAAAAAATATGTATATTCCTTAGCCAAAAATTAAAAGAAAAACCTCAAGGTAACAATTTTTTTTTGTTTGTGTTTACCAATTAAGTAACAATCAGCACTTTTCTTTAAAAATACATCTTGATTTATTCCCTATTTATAATATGCACTCATTTTGAAAATAAATTTTAAAATTGGAGATATATCAAAAAATTAAAAAGAAAGCCCTGCCAGCCTAATCCTAATGACCTCCCATCCACAAAGATTACTCTTCAGCTTACCAGTTGTAGACCTCCTACAGCTATCTTCTCCAGAGGTATGTGAAAAGATGTGTGCTTCTGAGCATTGACCTGTGTGCCATTTCAGGGCTGGCTCTGGCAGGAGACCTGTGCCACAGACATTGTGCTCTGCTTCAGCCCTTTAGGGAGGCTCAAACAGAGCACTGAGTCTACTGCCTGGTTCTAATGCTGTGAACTTCTGGTGTTTCTTCCACGGTGAAGCAAAAGTACCTAGAGACTTTACCATCTAAAGAATACCTTATGTAATAAGAGCTGTCTCTTGAGGTTTTAACAATCATTTCTTACAACTCACCTTTTATTTTTTTTCTCTTCTCAGTAAAGAGCCTCCAGTTAGGATTAAGGTCATCATAGCCTGGCTAAATATGAAAATATACACATGACTTCTTGAGTCAACTATGTAAGAAAATTGTGAGAAAATCATCAACAGTTATGGAATTAAATTTTAAATAACCAAATACAGAGATGATGCTTTTCTATGATCTTGGTTACAATTAACTGAAATCTTCCTCAACGTAGTAGTCTGGAAAAGCAATTTTTCTTAGAGTTCACGTGGGCACAGGCAGGTATTGTGACTCAGTTTTATAAATGAAATAGAATGCATAAGAACAATAAGTTAACAAATGTACAATTAACACAAATGAAAGCAAAATACAATAAGAATTCACTCCACACACATACCCCACCCACCCTATATAATAGGAGGAAGACAGCAATATTGTTGTGTCTCAACATTAGCCTTGGTGGTCATTCAAATTCAGCCCCATATAAACTGAGCAACCTCTCCAGGTCTTGGTCTTCAGAGCACAAAGACCTGACTGGACAACCTCCATGTTGTCCACTAATTCTAACTTTCTGTGACTAAAAATTTACTAAGTAGAAGAAGATAATCATGCAATCTTCAAAGTTAATCCATTCATATTCTACAATCAAGGCAACATGGTATTATGCTCATCTTTGGGAACATAATGGCATGTCAATCTCTCAGATATCATTAAGTCAAATACACTATTGGCTCAATGTTCCTTACTTCATCTCCAAAGTTACAACAGCATGGAAAAGACTAGTAAAAAAAAAAAGTGGTTTTTTTTTTTGGAAATCTTAAATCTTAGAAAACAGTTGCCAATAGGTCTACTATAGTTTACAACTATAAGAACAAAAACAAGAGTTTGGAGATTCCCAACATAAAGAAATGATAAATGTTCAGGATCCTTGAGATGGATATCACAATTGCCCCAATTTGATCATTATCTATTACACACATGTATCAAGGTATCATACTGTACCCTGTAAATATGTTCAATTATTGTGTCCATCAAAATTAAAATATTGGGAGTTTATCAATTGTTTGTGATCCAGGAGTCATCTTGGGACTGCACTGTGGTGGAGCCTATGGAAACTGAAACCCAAATCTGTGCTGTCAATATTGGTCTCCCTCTCAAAGGCAAGATACTAGAAACCTTCAGGGACACTACAAGTCTACAGGGTAGAAACTGTACTGCCTCAGATGCACACCAATAAATGGGAAGAGACACAAACAACATAAAAAAACAAGGGTATAAAGCCTCCAAACAAACCAAGATGCTCCAATAATAGAATCCATTGACAGTACAGTAGAAGAAATGTCAGAAAAGGAATTCAGAATGTACTTGGTAAAACTGCTCTGCAACTTAAAGGATGAAATAAGAGCAAATACAGGTAGCAAAAGATCACTTCAATAAAGAGATCCTGAGAAGAAATCCTTGAAATGAAGGAATCAATAAGCAAATTAAAAATTCAATGGAAAGCATCTCCAGCAAATGAGACCACCCAGAAGACAGACGTTAGGCAATGAAGACTAAATATATAATCTTGAAAATACAGTTGACCGCACAGAGAAGATAAGTTGCGTTATATTCCCTCACCCAGACACAATGCCTGAACAGCAACTGCTAAAGCCAACAGAGAGGAGCTATTGTGACTACTTCTGGGCTGATAAGAAAAAACCGCAAAGCAATGGCACCAGGGCTGGGTTTGAACTGGTGCTCCAAAAGCAACTGAAAGGCAAACAAATGTAGAAAGAAATGTCTGAATTTGTCAACAGAGGATAAAGATTGAAGAAGAATATGCAAAGAGCTTGGCTAAGTCTCTCAGCGCTCCTTGGCTGTACAACAGGAAGGCTCTCTGGGAGAAGCACGGCCCCAGTTGAAGAGGAGTCTGGCAGATGAAGCAGAAGTTCATCTCAAGATCTCTGCCAAGTGTCTCTGCGAGGTAGAGAAGCACCTAAGGAACTTTCATGAGAAATTCAAGACTTGACAAAGTATCCATGACCTCTACAAGCAACTTGCCAGTCACTAAGCATCAGTAGAGAAGGCCCAGGAAGCCCTTAGAGAGCAACTGAGAAAACTCAGTTGACTCTTAACAGATGGGAACAAGGTCAATCTGACCAGCTTGATCTTAAATATCTAGAACAGTTATAACCAAAGCACAGTCCATCCTTGGCATTCAAAAGAAAAAAAATAAGTGTAACTTAAGATGTACACTTGTGTTAACCCCACAAAACATAAGACTGGAGACTACAGAAGAGAAGATTCTTAGGCAGGAGTGCCTGATCACTATCAAGAGAAACTGCCAGGGTCAGAAGTTTTTAGTCAGTTTAAGGCCTGAGATCTTCCTAACCTCCTACACAGGTAGACTTAATGTTTGCTAATATGATTATCTAGCCCTAAGTAACAGAAATAAAGGGATCTCTAAACACAGGAGGTCATACCAACAAAAATATTTTACAAAAATCAGATAATATTAAGTAGCTTAACTACATCTTATGGAAAATCTGTGATATTAAAAATTCAGTGTTGTATTTACATTCAACAACTCCGGCAATGTTGAAGATTTACATTTCCAAATAACCTTGTCCTCCCCCAGCTTTGTTATGGGGACAACTTCTCAGATCTTGCACCTCCTAGTGAGAGATTATTGATTTCTATCATCTGCATGACATTCACTAACATGTTCCAGATGCAACATTTATTCTATATTGATCTCATATCTTTTTGTTCCTATCTCAGAAGAACCCACCCCCAGATGACTTTACAACCTGTTCTTTTGGAACCAGAATTTTACCACGGACCCCTCCACCAACCCAGTTTCTAAAAGGGGACTCCAAACTGTTTGCCCGACCCTACATCACCCCCTCTCAGCTTGAAGCAGCAAGAGTGTTTCATCGCCCTTTTTCCTTATAGTAAGGTGTCCCTAAAATTGTATGGGGGAATGAAGCAAAAATTACAGATAGGCAGTCAGTGTAGATAATTGGGTCAGATCACAAAAATGGAGGCCAGTTTGGGTCCAGAAAGTTGGAGACCACCTCTGAGAGAATGAAATGTTAATGCCTCCAGAGCCTTTTGATTACCAAAATAACCTGTGTATACTGCCCCTCCCTTATCCATCCTTTGTCAAACCTAAACACAATATACTGGGAACTAAAATGGAGCAAACTATGTTATGAGCATTTATGAATATGTCACTATTACATAACTAAAATGCACTAATAACAGACCACTTTCCCTGGATCTTGGGTCTTCGTTTCTGAAGGCTCTAAGACCCTGTGAAACTTTGATTAAATCAATGTGCTTGGGGTGGGGGGATTGAACCCCAGGGCACTTGACCACTGAGCCACATCCCCAGCCCTTTTTTAAATATTTTATTTACAGACAGGGTCTCCCCCTTAGTTGCATAGGGCTGGCTTTAAACTCAGGAACCTCTCGACTTTTTGTTATAGGAGTTTCAGCTATAACCCTTATTCGACTCCGTCAGTTTCTGTTGCCCAATGTGGGTCAGCTGACAAGGTCTACAGATGAAATCCTGGAATTGCTACTGACAAAGGTCAGCAATGAAAAGTAAGAACTGTTTTACCAACTCCAACCCTTCTGAATCTCTGCCTATAATGCCTGGTTAAGAACAAAAAGTAAAAGCTGTCCCTTCCCAAATTCTAGATATCAGGAAAAAAATCATTTGTTATTAAATGACCCTGTCTGTTGTGACATTTATATAGTGAAGAAAGGAATCACCCTTCTGCCCCGATATATTCTTGCTACTGCATATCTACAAACAATCATGCTGCCATCACTTAACGCAGCAGTAGTCTGGGGAAGGTCCTAAGAACATGGATAGAGGTTTTATATAGAAAGGCTACTAGGACTAAAGCAATGCTTTTTTTTTTTCCCCCAACACCTAAAGATTTTGATTTATTTTTACAAGTGGAATCTAAATATAATAAAGTCTCTACCCTCCATCAGAGTCCTGAAAGGAACATTTCAAATGAATTTTTCATTCCACATTAGTATTTAATATGCTTTGCCTAAAAAATTCTGTGGGTGAAATACATTTCATGAAATACTTAATGGCCATTCTCAAAGAGCTCATAGTTTAGCAAAGTTGTGAAAATAGCTGTGGATTCTATCAAGAATCACGTAAACTGTCATCTTCCCATTGATCCTTCATTGATTCATCCACTTAACAAAATTAGTCTAACACCTACTATGCTTAAAGAAATAAAATGGGAAATATATTTGTCTATTCCCATTTCTAGACCTACAGAAATACAAATAGGCAAGTAAATAAAACATTAGAGGAAAATTAAGGCCAAAAATGAGATGTAAAGATATAAATATAACATACGGGAAATGTTTGAAATGAAAAGCATTTAAGCCATTTTATTCTATTCCAGACGTGAACAAAGTTTAACACTCACAGATTTCTAGCCAGATGGATTTTCATATTGACAATGAAAGCTGAAGCATTTAAATCAACTCAAAACTGAATAGAAGTAAATCAGAATAGGCACTTCCATAACTATCTTTAATCATTAGGTTTTACAGAGAAGATACTCAATCACACAAAGTATATTATAAAAACTAATAAAGCGGCAAGTTGCATGAAGAAAGCCCCAAATGAGCCGAATACAGAATTTTGGAAAAGAGGCTCAGGGTAGCACAGGGCAGCAGTCACATTAGTTTCTTCTGCGGCAACATTTGAACTAAAATTATAAGCTGATTGTATTTATATTACCAGATAATCTATTATAAACTCATTAGTTTATAATCTATCCACTGATTTCCTAGAGCAGCCATTAAAAGAGGCAAAGCTCTGCTCTACCTGGCTGACCCAAGCTCACCTGATTATGGCAAGAGGAATGAGAAAACTCCAGCTATGTCAGTTTTCAAAGCCTGCATTTCTCTTTAAAGGAGACACTACACATTTGGTAAACCACAATCTTACAGTTTTCACTTATTACTCTACACTTGCACATGTCTAAGTCCTCTGCATAATAAACCACATGACTCCAGAGGATGTTGCTCATATATACTGCAAAGTGATAACT